GACGCTTTCCTTCTTTCCAAACCCCTTCCATATCCACAACCTTCACCATTCACGCTTTTAGTCTGGCTGTAACTTTTGATCATGCCTGATGACATTTTGCCCACAAGTTGGAAATAAATATTATTTTCGGTAAACCCAAATTGCATTTGACACCACACGACTTTGTTCCACCTGCTTTGACCCTCTTGACCAAACCAAAATTATACTTCACACAAAGTTGCGCTTCCACTCTCCAATCATGTCAACCATGATGTCCACTATGGAGGTGTTCAGAAACCGAAGTTTTAGTGAAATGGTGGCGTGAAAACACCCACAACCTTTCTCTCCATACTATATACTGGCCCCTGTCGCTCTTCGGAACTTTATCTGCAAAGATGATCAAACTGTTTGCTGGAGCCTAACGGACTCTGAGAAAACTTTACCAACAACAATGGACCGTTAGCATGTCCTTACCAAAAATTCGATGGTTTAATTTAGATCCCTCCTACCGTCGTATGTGTTAGCATCACCCCGTTCTACCAAAGAGCCTCCGCACGCAACTCCGCTCTAGCACCGGCACAAGTGAATTCATAAGTTTCCACCGTACACCTTTTTCTGGGGTGCAAATTACCATCGTGCAACCCTCCTCGCATTGAATACATTCACGTCTTTCGCGACCATGGCCATAAGGTCACGCAGCTCCGAAACGCTTTCCAGTTTTATTACAGATTGGCCGGTGGATCAATGAGATACTCTTGCTTCGCCAGATTTGTTGTCTTGGGTTATAAGCTCTCGTTCTAGGATGGGCTCGCAAGTTTTGACCCACATTCGTTGTGTTGTTTCTCGAAAAATTTGGCTTGTATTGGTCTGAATTCGCTTCAGTTTGACATGTTCCCTGCAATCCAAAAAGTACTTTCTGACTGTTTTTCTACGTTCCAAATCCACTATTTTTAGACCGTAGCATTTTAAATACGTCATCGTCTGTGGCAATTAATGCTCAGTGTTTAAATGAGTGCTTCTCTCTCATGCATGACAGGTTGCACAAAACTGACGTCACTCGTGGATTCACTCCGACTGCGCCAATGCGATCAGTCTCGACGTTGTGTTACTCACCACTTGCATATAAACATTATTATTAATGTATAATTTTGCTAGAAATCTCAAACTGGAATACCGACACAAGCAAGCCATAAGTGGATGTGGTAGAACAGTTGGCGCTGGGTTAGGGTCCCCCCAAAGGGATGAGGATTTCGCGAATACGTTTTTACCCGGATAGTCTGAAAACACCTTATTACCTGATCATAAAAGACACCAAACGCAATGGCCTGAATATTAAGGTCTATCTAAGGTACATGGCTGTCTTCCTCCTTGCATCTTTCATCTAACCGTGAGAGGGCCATGAACGCTGAGCAAAAGATTACGCTTTGGCTATGAATGGCATCTAAAATTATAGGGTGCTGTGCCACGTATACCTTGGTAAGTTGATAGTTTATACTATCCCGGTAGGTTGTGTTGGCTTACATTAACCGATAATGTGTGGAGAGTTTTGAACTCCCGTTCAGCACATCCAAAACTTGCAAGAATATACTTGCTAGCTTCAAGTTTGTGGACAAGGGAAGGCGCCAAAATAGTTTGACTTTTACCCGACGGACACCGGCTGTCTGCGTTAGAAACTACTTTCGATGTTCTCACTTGCTGAAGACAGCTCAACACAATTGTTGCTGGCCACTGAAAATGAAAACACACGGGGATACGAACAATGTCTGTTCAAGTTGAGGCCACTCAGCACTGTTCTCATTGCCATATGTATGCGTTTAGAGAGGATTACCTCAAGTAATAACAATGTTTATGCCAGACCGTAATCCAAGGCATCTTTTGATGAGTATTCCAGTGAACCCTTGAGACGTTTGTCTTTAGTGCAACTGTCTTTGAAACAAAATCTTTTGGACAAGAAAGCCGCCCTCTGCTTAGCTATCACGCGGCTTGCCATGCCTTGAAAAGCTGGGCGTCCTTCATTCCATATGCCGGTACGTTTCATCTTCCGTTCTTCATCGCGCTTGAATGACGGTTCGCCAATCAGACAGAGCATTCAGCTTTATGAATATGTCATTGGTGCTTTCATTAGGTTGGCCAGTGCTTGCGCTGTACTGGACCACAGGCTGGTTGCATACTGTTTATGTGCCCAAAAGTGTGATGAAGTTTTGGAGGTTGGGAGCCTGTAAATCAACGGTGGGTGTCGAAGATTTGCGAGGCTGAAAAATGCACATGAGCATAGTTTGTTGCATTGGCGATGCTGACCACATGATTTTGTTGACCCGCACTTTTGGTTACTAACCAATAAACGGCCTCATAATACGAAAGTTAGAGCCACATAATCTGAATCCATAAACCCCAAACAAACCGCCGAATGTTGTTGTTCATGCACAGCAGACACATCGGCATAGCGTATCAGCATTAAACAATGATTGATAAAGAGGAAAAGCTATGATGGCATAGGACTAGGCGTACAGACGCACAGAGCAAGTGTTCTTTGTCCGATGTGTTTTCCTGGAGCAACGTTGCCATTTTAATGCCAATTCTCTTGCCTCCACTCTGGACTTTTGGAGCCGCATAAAACGTGTGAGGACTTCGTGGTTGCGTACTAGTCTGGCTACACAAAAAGCTTCCTTGCCAGGAGTGTGAAGCAGAGACATAGAAATAATGACGCTAGTTTGATGGGACAGACTCGTTGAGAATTGTTCTCTTTAAGACAGCTCATCGTCGGCCCAGTTCAGTGAATACACAACAGCCCAATCATGGTTATCCGGGGTCTTCTTCTGAATGGTTCTCACTCATATATTCCAAAGATACCCTGAAATGTTGTGGTACCAGAGTTAGCGCATGAGACTCACGAATGACTGCCGTAGGCGCGAGCGAAATCAGAAGAGAGATTTGAAGCACGTGACCTTCAAGTAGTCGCCACAAAACGACTAGGTCTATCCAGCTTTTGTCTCTCTCAACTGAGACATTTTACCCTTTTACACACCTGCTGACTATATGCTAAATAGATTAGTGCAGACGGAATGAGAGCTGGCGGAAATCGGACGAAAGAATTGAATGAAAACAACGCAGTGAAAGAATTAAAACAAAACATCACTAGAGAAAGACGAAAAGTTGAACACATCGCCGTTTAAGTTTCTATGTTGCAATATGGTAGTGCATCTGCTTCCTGGAAACGAGCATGGGCGACTATCTGACACCTACTGTGAGGTCCTTGTTCCCTTGAGTTTTATGTGCTCTTGGAAGCAATGATGTTATTGAACCAATAAACGCATTCCATTCAGAATAACTGTGTTTGGGCGGCTGCTGAACTCGCCAACTCACGTGTAGCCTTCAAGGGATGAACAACCTCAAGAAGTTTGCCGATTTGGGTGTTCTCGGTGGTGGCATTCTGGCTGCCGCTGGAGCTGTCGGCATTGGATTAACTCAGTGTCTATATACAGGTATGCATTTGATCTGTTTTGGATGATCCTCGACTCTTAGTCGACGGAGGCCATCGCGGGATAATTTTCAGCCGGATTGGTGGTGTTCAGGACGACATATATCCTGAGGGCCTACACTTCAGGTAAGTTGTCACCTCAATATACATTTGTTATTCGTAGGATCCCTTGGTTCCAATATCCGATCATCTACGATATACGTTCCAAGCCCCGGAAAATTACATCCCCTACCGGAAGCAAGGGTGAGCTTGATTGATTGGCTTCTTTCTACGCACTTTATTTGGGGAGTGCTCTATATATCCACGACCCCTTATTCTCTATAGAGTGTTCCTGTCCTTTAAGAGTATTGTTCCCTAACTTTCGGTTTGCAGGACTCTGGATCCGCATTCCGCTTAAGTCCAGTTTGTTCATAGACATGTAGTCATTTCCCTTTTGTCCATCAGAACAGAAATCGACCCGGAGTGGCTCCCTGATGGTCTCCTGCCTTGCGAGAAACTTCGAAAAGGGGACAACGATAGTTGTTTCATCGATCATCGTTATTTATTGCTACTTTCCTAAATTGCGTCGTTTGTGCCAACCAGAAAGACGCGACTAAGTATAGTCGGTCACTTTGGATAAATAAATTCATTGTCTCCAAATCGATCGTCCGCACAATCAGAACCGCTCAGCCTATCCACTAGACGCGTATCCGCTCTCTGTGCACATCCAACCGAAAATGTATAGCACGGAGTGCCGTAAAATCTGGTGAACTTAAACGATCGTCCGCTTTCCCCAAGCATGAATCGGGCAGACGTGCAAGATTGGTGAGTGTTGGTTGAGGTCATAACTCTAAAATTATTCTCACAATCAAACGTTCCAGGTAGAATCCCGTTGAATTGAAACGCACAACTGTGGCCTCCCGGTCCTATATAGGATTTCACGTGAGACACGGCAAGCTCACCGACCCACGGTTTACCACTAGATCTGGGCTAACAGCCGCCCTCATCTCATAACGTAAAAACTTGCCGTGTTTCAGGCAGATTCTGTGCGCTTTTCCTGAGTTGTGGCGGAAACTACTGATCATAGCGCAAGAGGATGTAAACGTCGATCCAGGTGACCTGGGTGGGTATGCACGGCCAATATGAGCGGCCAGGTAACACGCTACAAGGCAATCGACTGAGGTGGTCTGCACCACGCACTCTGCAAGTTAGGTAGCTAGGTCCTGGTGAATAGTCCGATAACCATACTGCAGAAGATTTGGAGCAATAACAACTCCTCGATCCTTATCCCAACCATCAAAAAGGGCGCAAGGAAACCGTAGCATCAGCCTAGTAGCCATGGTGTTCTCTGGAATTATTTTGCGCAGGTCGATCGATTGTCGGGAGAGACAGTCTTGTTAAATCAAGCTGGGTCTCGTCTTCACCGAGGATGTATCGACCATTTCTTTACCTTTTTTTGAGCCAGAAAATGTTTACAACAAGATGGAAGTCTAACTACCCCGACAATCGTCCCCACTAAGTAGGCTGGTGACGAAAAATTGTCATCAAATTTCATAGAATATTGGCCGTATGATCTGAAGGTATGTCGATTTTGTCCCTGTTTCGAACGAGTCGCAAAACGCCCGGCCGAATCACATTTACTTGTTTGACTAGGTCTGTTGGGATGTGCAGTTTACTCCCCGGGGTGACGCAACAGTGCACGCTGTTGGTGAGGTGAAGTAACGTCCGAACTAAGATTAACTACAATTGTGGATTCTTGCACGGTTACCGACATCTCCACAATCCAATGACAGTAAGCAACCAACAAGCAGGATGAGTTTACCGGCCACCGATTTCGCAGTTGGTTATCAGATCATGGGGTGCCGCCAACCATCCGTTCCGATACATGGCGGGATGACTCAGTGGTTGGAGCGTAAATTTACTGACCGGAAGGTCCGCGTTTTGAACCCGACTTCCGCCTCTTGACTTCCCCTGCCTAGATCTGAGCAAGCTAGCCGTATCCCAGCCCTCGTGCTGCTTTCTGGTGGCATGGCATTTAAGCACAGAAGGGGTTCTACAGCTGAACCATTTTTATAGGGGAAGGTTTATGCTGGAAACAATGGTTACGGAAAATGGCATTTAGCACAGAAAGGATTCTACAGCCGAAACCATTTTATAGGGGAAGGTTTATGCTGGAAACAATGGTTACGGAAATGGCACATGGGTTGATTGCACTGCATCGTTTGGTGGGTGTGGAGGGATTGTACGGGACGGGCGCTGAGCGAAGGGCTGCATAGGCAAATGATACCTCCCGATTGGTTGAGTTACCCCACCTTGACTGACTCAATAATATGGTGCGCTTGGCTGTAGGGGCTGGCCTGGCTCGAGGGCACAGGGATTAAGGCATTACTGTCTCACTTCTAACGCAGCTGCACACAGCAGGTGCCTTTGAGCAGCACCATACCATTTAGTTTTAAGAGTCTTTGAACCGTACTGAATAAGGCGTCGGTGGTCGGAGTGTGCGGTTTTTAGGCGGACTTTTTCTAATCCATCCTTTTTCGGGGGAAGACAGCATCGCTGTTTCCATGAATATGAACATACTGGACGTCTGGCGCAAACACTCCTATCTCAGAGAACAGTACGACTTCACTCTCAGACCGCTTTGTAACACGATTACTCGTAGTGCGGAGTCACGCTGCTCTTGGTCTGACTGCTCCTCTTTAGCCTTCCTGACATGGTTGCGGCTTGTGGAACGAATTTCAAGGTAGTTTAACCCGCAGGTTCATTGAAGACCCCAAGCCCGACCACCAATTCAAAGTGGCAGCGTTAGATTGGAAACTTTTACAGACTCAGTTTGCACCACTGTTGTTTCGTCGGCCCCCATTTTTCTTTCATTGCGGAAGAGAGGAGACAAAACCCTCTGTAAGAACTACTGTCGAACCAGTCTGATTGATTTTGCAATGAAGCTAATTGCTTCGTTTTTGCTGCACTGCCTTGTAAGCCCGAGTTTCAAAGTCGAAATAAAACTAGGAGGTGCAGCATCTGATTCCAAGTTTCCATTTGGTTCATGGTAAGAGCCCGGTCGGACTGTTGACCTTTACTCGAAGTTATTCTGGAATACCAGAACGCTCACCCACGAAAACGGACAGCCTCCTTCCGGGTGTACGCCACACTATTCCCGTGTCACCATTGTCTAACTTCACAATTGACAGGACAAACGTGCTCTTCTCGACTACTCGGATGTTCATTCAAATTCAATCTCGTGGGTCACCGATCTCCCATGTGATAATGACATCCTCAACCTGTTGTAAATGATTTTCCCCTTATCAGCTAGCGCGTTTTATTCGCTGGCTTGAAGGAAATGCCTGCAATAACATTATTCATTGGTAACACGAACATATGAACCAGTCCACTCTGCATCTTGGACAAAGCTACAACGTAATTGACTAGTTTGGACTCCTAGTTCAACCAACACCAAATGGTCAAACAAAGGAAGTTATCTTCGTCCGCACAGACAACATCAGAGGCTGTAGCTAGACAAACCATTGTATGGGCGAACGAAAGTAGGTCTCATCTTATTGCTTTGTGCATATCGCGCTGCTATTCGTCTTGTGCTCACACTTGCTCTTGAGATTCAGCCCTTCAAAGTTGATAATTCTCACAGCCTCGAAATCTTTAACCATTGGGTCTACAGTATACACTGAAATTACGGCATGATCACTGGACAGTGCTACCTCACCACTGCGCATCCTTCCTATCCTGGTCACTACCGGCATGTCAACTTGCAAAACCTCCGCCGGCACCGTTTTTTTCCACTGTGGTGCTGCCGTTTAAGAGGCTGGTTGAAAACACGGCTGTCCACTATTAAGGCTTTTTCCTGGCTTGTCGGCTTTCATTTCCTCTACAAACGAACGGGAACTGGATGATTGTGAGTCGATTTGGCCACAGATTGTTATTCGTCGGTGGCAACATTTCGGATTGTTATCGAAGCCGTGTCATCCTGTGGTTCGCAAAGTTTGCAGTAGAATAATTAAAAAGTTTTTCGTTCTCACATGTAATCCCGTTTTCTACGGTTGTCCCGGCCCGAACATCACAACGTTGTAATGCCGCAGATGACCTTTCAAGTGCATGAATCGTATGGGGTCTCAGGTCTCACCATCTACGCACCCCTAGAAAGTCGGCACGGAATGGAATTAAAAAGTATGGTATGTGTGCCGGATGTACTCAGGGGCTTCTATGATTTAGACAATACCGGTTGTGTATGGGTGCCACATGCTAGTAACCGTATGGTCATATGGTGCGTAGTTGTTCAGTAGCCATCTCGCTGTACTCGCTAATTAAATGTGATGAACACGGAGTAAAAACAACGGAAATTTGGATGGGACGTTAAGCAGCTGCAGAACGATTTCTCCGGGGAGAAAATATGACAAGTATGAGCTCCCCGAGCAAGATAACGAACCACCATTATTCACGTAAATTAAAATCGCCATCGCATTTTCACGTATTCGATGTTGTAGTCTGCTGAAAAAAAGCAAGGATTCAAAGACGAATGAAATCGCCGTCAGAAAGCTTTTATTTCAATGATGTTGAGGGTGATGGGCGTATATTTATTCTAACTTCACTTGACCAATTCTTCCTGACACGTCGCCGTCGGTATCCAAGGTCACACCGTGTCTCATGTCCAATCCGAAATACGATTCGTTAACTGCTAAAACTTTCACTCACCTTAATTTTGTGATCTCTTAAACTACTTGATCACGTCCGATCCCACCTAGCATCTTGCCATTCCTCATAAATTAGGTTCTCCTATGCAACGGTGAGTTTTTTATTTTCTCAGATGCAGGTGCAACATTTCGTTCTCGAAATCCACATTCAGCTGCCCAGCACTTCATCACACTAGAGTTAGCCAAGAGTTGGTTCTTTATACTTTCCTCTACTACACAGCAAACCGTGTAGAACGTCCCGCTCTTGGTTGTCACTCTTGGAATCATTGAACAGATTAGTTATTCAACTGTTCACTATTGGCGCTTGTCCTCTTGGGCTTGCTCAGGTTTTTACCGAAGTCGACTGAAGAATCCAAAGTCAGGGTTGTAGGTTTTTGATACTATCTTGTTTGTGATAATTTCCCCGCCAATGGAGACATGGTTTATGCGAGCCGAATTCTCTGGAAACGTTCTGGTGTCAACTATTTGGAACTTGCCTTTACGTAAACTTTGCTTTCTTTTTTCATTCGCGAGTTACTTCGACTGTGGCGTGTCGTAGATTCGTTGAGCCTGGTTACCCATGTTTGCCAACGTGGTTTGTATGCTTTACTCCTACTGTAAAATCATTCTTTAGATTTGCAAACGGTGAACCTGACTTTGCGTGTACTGTCGCGACCGGAAGTCAACAACCTGCCCAAGATTTACCGGAATTTGGGAACGGACTATGATGAACGAGTGTTGCCGTCAATCGTCAACGAGGTTCTTAAAGCCGTCGTGGCTAAGTTTAATGCCAGTCAGCTTATCACTCAACGCCAGCAAGTATCGCTGCTTATTCGAAAGCAGCTTGTTGAACGTGCACGGGACTTCAATATTGTGGTCGATGACGTGTCTATCACTGACTTGAGTTTTTCACAAGTCTACTCGGCTGCGGTCGAAGCGAAGCAGGTTTGTTTGTATTTCTGTTCACAGGAAACATTTCGCTATTAGTTGCAGTTTGTTGCGCAAATCGGTTGCTGTATTTGGGAATTTTTATTCTGGCCTATTGTTATCTTATGTTGCCTCATTTCTAAAAAATCACCGTGATATAACTAGAAAAGGCATCTCTCGTATATCTGAATATGGCGAGAGTTGTTAACATCCCTGGAGTGACCGTCCATTGGACACCGAATTATCTCGCCTTGAAGAGGTGAGAAGCACAGGGTGACTGATATTTCTATCCATACTTCAACTGTTTCAGAGTTTCTCGATGATTTCCATCATAGAAACTGCATTGTGAATTATTCTTTTTTACGTGGTTTCGTTCAGCTAATTATAAGAAACTTTACTCTGGCACTTTTCCGTCTGAGATCTGCATGCTTACTCCTTGCTTATCAGAAGCTATTGTACTTCCTTCTGATCAAAGGTTTCTCCTCTTGATTCAGGGAGACTTTGCTTGATACTTGCACCAAGATGAATACAACTTGACCTGATGTGTTGAAGTTCGTAAGCCTGGCGCGTGACGAAGGTGATAGCCGCGTAAACAAAATGGATGGAAAGTTGTAGTGTACATGTTATCGAGTAAGGTGGCAAGTGAGGCCTGAATTTTCACGTGGTTTGAGTGTTTGTCGGGGCGAGATGGCCCAAGTGGTTACAACGCGAATTTACTGACCGGAAGGTCCGTGGTTCGAACCCGACCTCTGTCACTCCCTTTCCCCTGTCTAGGTTTGGGCGACCTGGCAGTATCCCAGCCCTCGTGCAACCTTCGGGTGGCATGGCAGTTAGGCACCGAAAGGGTGCTACAGCTGAACGAATAATAAATTGAGTGTTTGTGGCGCGTGATCTATTGAGTGGCCGCTACAACTTTAGGTTCTATATCAATCATTCACATGGATTACAGCTTTTAATCAAGCAAAGTGGTGATAATTTTACTTCGAAGCACACTGTAGCGTGTATGAAGATCCTGTGGTGTCATTTCCGCGGGCTGGATAGTTCCTTTTGCTATTTGTTGGACTATGGAAGGCTGCACTAAACTGCGCTCTCGTGTTGATTACGTGACACTGTTCACATTGTCGTTGATTGAATATCCGTTAGTTTCACCGTAGCTAAGCATTTAAAGCTGTAGTTTTGAGCATTGGATGGCATGTGCACAAAGTCTTGATCATGGGGGATGGTGTTTTTCACGTAATGCTAATAAATTTGGGACAGCCATTTCGCGCTTTTCTTTAGAGGTATCCTCTTCAGAGCCACTCACTTGGCGAGGGTTGGCGGCAAAACAACTTTATATTTGTTCCAGTACCGCGTACGATCAAAATCGAACTCCATGGTCGTAAATCGACCAATGGACATGGGAGCTGGATACGCATACCGGCCGATTCCTGAAGGCCGGGGTGGAGTTTTGCCATCGTCGCACACCCATGGTTTTGGCGTGGGCGTCAATCAGTGGTGGATTTCATAATTTCACAACGTCATCCACACTCCTATTTAATCGTGTATGGTAGAATTCCAGCGTCTGACCATGGTCTCCAAAGCATGGTTTGGACCCAGTGGCATTTCGAAGGGAGGTATCTACGATAGACAGTCTGATCGAACTCAAGGTAACACTGGCTAGGTGATGAACTGCGAATGGTAGAACTCCATCCACCTTGTAGAACTCTTTTTCTACAGTACCTTGATAATGATAACAGTAGTACTAATCGTTCAGCTGTAACATCCTTTCAGTGCCTAGCTCCCATGCCACCTGAGGGCAGCACGAGTGCTGGGATACTGCCATCTTGCTCAGGTCTAGGCGGGGAAAGTCAAGAGGCGGAGGTTGGGTTCAAGACACGAACCTTCCGGTCAGTAAATTCACGCTCGGACCACTGAGCCATCTCGCCATGTATGGGAACAAATGGCTGGCGGCACTCCATAATCTGACAGCCAACTGCAAAATCGGTAACCGGTAAACTCAGTCGGTTTGTTTACTGTCATTGGATTGTGGAGATGTTGGTAATCGTACAAAAATCCACAATCGTAGTTAAGCTTAGTTTGGATGTTACTTCACCCCATCAGCAGCGTGCAATGAGTAAACCGCACATTCCAACAGACCTAGTCAAACAAGTGAATGTAATTCGGCTGAGTTTTTCGCAGATGTTGGTAATCGTACAAAAATCCACAATCGTAGTTAAGCTTAGTTTGGATGTTACTTCACCCCATCAGTCAGCAGCGTTGAGTAAACCGCACATTCCAACAGACCTAGTCAAACAAGTGAATGTAATTCGGCTGAGTTTTTCGCCACTCGTTCGAGGGACGGGAACAAAATTGATATTCCTTCAGATCATATAGTCAGTATTCTATCAAATTCGACAAAACTTTTTCCTTTCCAGCCTACGTAGTTGGGACGGATGTCAGGATAGTTAGACATTCTCTGGTTGACCCTGATCCAAGTGTTCGCAGGCGCGGAGGTAACGAATCTCTAAAGGTGCCAGCTTAGTCTTTACCGTAGAAACCCGAGCTGGAGATGGCTCACTGATCAGGGCTTGAACTTACCTACCTGATGATCTGCTGTTCGAACCCAACCTCAGCACCTCAGCTGCTCCTGTAAGCCTGGGAATATCTCAGCGCTCATACTACCTTTGGATGGCATGACAGCTAGGCACCGAAGTTGAGCTTTTGCCCGAAAAAATACCAAAACATAATCCTTTTGGAGGTATCTGCGCCCAACCTGCCACTTCTGTCGCAGTTACGGGATTGCGTACCAGCAGAAGAGACAGGAGTCTATCGAAGCGCGTGAGTGGGCATACGTCACAGCTTTCTGTAACACACCGGGGGTAATCGTCAGAGGCTGTATCGTCACCCAGCGTCTTCAACTAGGCTAGGATTTAATAACAAGGGCTAATACCTCTGTACTCTTGCTTCCGTATTTTCCATGCTGAATTTCCTTTTGAATGTATTTTTTCGACTTGAGTAATACTAACATACTGATTCCCCCCACAGATTGCTTTGCAAGAAGCTCAGCGCGCGCAATTTCTTGTGGAACGAGCGAAACAAGAGCGCCAGCAAAAGATTGTCACTGCTGATGGTGAAGCGCAAGCAGCCAAACTGATTGGTGACGCTCTGTCCGCCAATCCCGGTTATTTGAAGCTACGAAAAATCAAGGCGGCAACACAGATTGCTCGCACGGTGAGATTTGCCCATAGTTACGAGATTGTGCACCACACTGTTGATTCTGTAGTGTTCTCTTCATTGCAGGCTCTTCCGTAGGTCTTCCTTTAATCAATGAACTAATAACCTAACCTCGTATTTGTGCTTCTTGTCGCGTTTTATGTTGAAGTCGCATCGTGAAGGAATTGACCCCCTCGTTTACCTGATTGCTGAAAATTATTCAACTGGTATTCCCAACTTTTCTAAGATCCTCCTAGATGATTTGATAAATACCAAGCTTATTATAGGGTGGAGTTTACCAGACACTGCGTGTTTGTATTCTGAAAAGTTATCCAACATGGTTCGACTTACCAAATACCGTCTTTTTGCTGACAAAGTCTGAGCGTGTCTGGTCATTTATATAATCGCTTTGCTATCCTCCGCCGTAAGGTTCTTTTCGCTTGTATGCCAATAATGGTACAATATACTACCAGTGGTTAAGGTGCGGATTTACTGACCGGAAGGTCTATTGTTCGAACCCAACCTGTGCATCTTGGGTAGGTTCGAGCAACCTGGTAGTGTCTCAATAATCGTGTTTCCTTCGCGTGGCGTGGCAGCTAGGCACAGAAAAGGAATTAGAACTACTCTCCCTAGTGCAAGAGGACTGAGTGCTTCCTTGCGTGGCGTGGCAGCTAGGCACAGAAAAGGAATTAGAACTACTCCCCCTAGTGCAAGAGGACTGAAGTGGAGCCTCATCGTTTCCTAATGTAGGCATGAGATCTATCAATCTATTGTAACGCGTATCTTTTGTCTAATACAGTTTGGTTATTTTCGGTCGGTCATCTTCAGACTTGTCCATGCAGTTTGCGAGCATACTTGTCCTGTTCATGTTGCTGTCAGAAGTTTGTTGAATTCGTTGGATAACCCATTATGTGTTTGGAACTTTTTCAGCTCGCCCAATCTCAAAATCGTGTGTATCTGAACACTGGAGCTCTAATTTTGAACGTTTCCGATTCCAAATTCGACGCTGGACTGGACGTGTTGAAGAAGAAGTGAACGCGTTTTTCTACGATTTGTTTTGTCACCTAACAAGTTTAGCACCTAGATAGGAAGCCTTGGTCCTTCTGTACAATCATGCAAATACACATTTCGATTCCAAGCTCCTTTTGTTTTTGAAAAACCTGTCAGGTTGTCTGCCTGAACCACGTTTTAAGTGTTCGAATTCCGTCAGTGCACCCTCCCTCAGTTTCTGTTTGACCTTCCCGATACCAAACTGAAAAAGACTCATGTTCCAATCCCTTAGCACAAATACACCTCTCGTTAGTGGACGCCTCCCAGCTGAACGTTGCAAATATGGGCAATTTAGCTGTCGCTTTGTGCTTGCCTGCGAGGCGAGGGCACACTTCATGAAATGAACGTAGACTTAAGATAGCTTGAATGTGCGAGCTGGGTGTTTAAAAGTCCTCCTTTACACACCGATTCGCTCTTGTGTACACAATTTAGCAACAAACAAACTAGCTCGAGACTACAGAGAAAATAAATCGATACGAAAGCTATTGGGTTGACTCTCGTAAATAGACAAACCAACAGGATGGTACCGTTATCCACTTGACTTTTCCATGCCAGTGAATTCTTCCGAAGACCGATAGAGTTCATCGATTACATCCCAACGCTGCGGTTTGTGTGCACTAGGTGTTATGCGCTTCCCTTTTTGTTCCCAGGTCTTGCTTGCGTTGTTAGTTAAGTGCCAATACTTGCTGTTGATGGTGGTGATGACTAGCACTGCTTTCCAGTCAGGAATCGCGTTAGCTGTGGTGGGATGGATGGCATGCATACGAACGACCGTAGCTGGTGCTGCTTAGCCAAACCGTCGATTAGGTGATAGTCAGTTACCGACAACCGTTCACCACAATTAATAGCCTTCTTGAATACATATTCTCACTCTACGTGTGTAGTGTTTCCGGAACCGTACAAAATACTGCCTCGTTGTAGACTGACTCTCACCGACATTCCAACCTCACAGGCTCTTCAGAGCTGAGCAGCCATTGCTGAGCCTAGAACTCAATTCCTCTGCATTTGCCATGCGAAACCACTCACCAATAAACCTACTGACCACATGTGGTGTTTTGGACTGTGTCTACTCGAATAGGCATGGCACAACCTGAGTTACTTGATAACATAATTGGAGCTGTTGATTGCTTCCATAGTATGGGTGGAACCTCGCTTATACGACAAGATAAGGCAAATAAATAATCAATGCACAGCCTCGGTGCCACCTGAAGGAACCACTAGGACTAAGATGCTGTCAGGTTACCTAAGCGTAGACAGGAGCGGTCGGGATGCTGAGGTTCGATTTGACCTACAGACCTAGTCATTAGGTTCATGCTTTGACCACTAGGGTATCTTGTTATAGTTAGCTTATTTTAGGTCATATTTTCCCTCTAGGTTGCTGCAACGGGATTGTTGACGCAGATTATTGGAAATATCCAAATGGCTTGCCTTCGCAGATTTTTTCCCCGAACTTCTGTTAATGACTTGGCGCGTAGCGTCGTTGCGAGCCAACATATGATTCGCGGAGCTCAGAACTTTGGTCCTTAGGCCTACCATTTGCGTGCACCGGAGATCAAGCTGTTTCCTCCTTGCAACTTCCATAGTTTCCGTCCCAGAATGTTTGAAGGTTATTACGTGAATGCCGCATTTTAGCTCCCGATGGACAAAAAAACGGCAAGATTTAATGACAGCACTTATTTTTCGTCGCATGTTAGCTGCTGAGTGGACAAAAAACGACTTTTTCACGGGAGCATCAGAAAAATTCTAATAGCAATCAACTGGGAACTGAAAAAGGATGAAATACCTTAAAAAATTGTTTAACCTGCTCTAGTGTGGCCCCTGTTTTCCTAGAAGTCGTTCTCTTATTTGGTTTCCTACTGCTAAGCTTAAATACCCTGGGAACACGAAACCTATTTGGGGTCATTTTAAATTCGCCCAGGTACGCACCGAAGACCGCAACTCAAAAGCACGTGTTATCTGCTGTGACTTGATGGCAACAGACCATCGGTGCAGGGGCTAATTAAGGTACAGTCAGGTAGTAACTAGACTGTCGGCATTGAAAACACCATACTTTTCCATTTAGGAGGCGAGATGGCCCAAGTCGTTAGAGCGCGAATTTACTGACCGGAAGGTCCGTGGTTCGAACCCGTCCTCTGCCTCTCGACTTCCCTTGTTTAGGCTTGGGCGACCTGGCAGTACCCTAGCTTTCGTGCCTCCTTCGTGTGGCATGGCAGCTAGGCACCGAAGGGGTGCTACAGCTGAACGATTAGGAGCCATGTTACCTGGTCACGAGCGTTCGTCAGTCCGCCCTTCAGTTAGTTCTGCACCTGATTTCCACTAAATTTCCTGTCTCTCTAAGAGCTACTGCCGCTTCCACACTCCCTGAGGCAAAAAATTTCCATTGATCTAAACGCCTCGAAGGAATTCGGTAAAGGCTCACATGTTTCAAGGGCAAGGTGGTAATTTAGAACGACGCTTGTTATGGAACACAATCCTACATGTCTGCGTGTTACAAACTGTTCACATTCTTGTTAATCTGGCTGAACAATGACCCCAGATTCAAAGCTGAAAGGTTAGTGTTACGGTTCAGTGATCGTAGAGTCTTATTGCTTATTGCAACGAATGACGGCAGTGAAGCATCGGTGTTGAGCACTGATGTCATGCTGTCGATGATGATGATGACGTTAAGCTTAACCTTCTTCCCAGTACCACTCTGGACTCATTCTTCACGTGTCAGCTGGTTGTCGCTGCACGTGTGTGTGTCGGTTACTGGCTGTGGTTCGGCTGCATAGCTGCTATGCCACCTCAAGGATGCCCTGGGGGCGAGTTGGCCCAAGTGGTTGGAGCACGAATTTACTGACCGGAAGGTCCGTGGTTCGAATCCGACTTCCACCACTCGACTTCCCCTGTCTAGGCTTGGGCAACCTGGCAGTATCCCAGCCCTCATGCTTCCTTCGGGTGGCGTGGCAGCTAGGCACCGGAAGGGTGCTACAGCTGAACGCTTTCCTGGTTGCTAAATCTCTACCACCTTGCCAAAGCTGAAAGACGGGAGAAGCTGGGATGCAGTTGTTGGGTTCGAACCACGGAACTTCTGGTCACCAGGTTCACACCTTAATCAACATGAGTTTGATATCACAAATGATATAAAAAATGTATTGAAAAGGAGGTATTCATCTTCTCAGCTAATCGAACACTGCGCTTTGTGAGGACAAACATAGCCTTAGGTGAATGCAGGAGGACTGCAATGCGAATGGGTCTAAGTTACCATTATGTGGCGAACGCAGTCTTCAGTCAGTTGGTACACAACTTCAAAATTTCGGTATCCTGAGGAATATCCACCGCACAAGAGTCCAAAATGGTCTTTTCCTCGTGACGGTTTTCCTTCCTAAGCTTACTGCCTCTGAAATTTGTTCACAACTGATTGTGCTAAGCGTTGTGTACCTCAAACAGTGGTGCAAACCCTATATCGGTCCTCCCTTCCTACTTCGCCCACTATGGTATTTCAAAAAGCACGGTAGCTTGAGGCAGCCCTTTTTGAAGACAAGGGAATATTGTTACGACTGTATTTGTAGGGCCGTCACAGAATGTTCCTCAAGCTCACGCTAGAATCTTCCTGAGAGAGCGAGAAATGCTGGGCCTGATTGGCTGACATTCCGACCAATCAAGACATGCTTTCGTTTGTTTAGTAGCCCGCAGGTGACATCTGTCCAATCGAAGTGAGTTTCGGTTATTAAGAGCGGCTGACCTCCACACACAGCCAGACACTAGACTCGTGGTTCCGAAGACTCCTATGAAGCTGGTAGTTGTCGAGGCCAAACTACTGCACATCAGAACTTGTTTAAACAGCAGCACGTGAGCCGACAAACTAACCTGGAGCTGCCAAAACCCGTCAGTGTAAGGCCGCCTGGCCGTCGGTGGCTTTTCGATGTATGAACCCTACTATTTCGTAGGCAGCCAATCAAAGTCAGCGTCCATACTCGGAGGAACAGGAGATATCTGCCTTGCATAGCATTTTTTCGGTTCAGTACTGCACAAAGGAAATAGTTTTTGCGATCTGGGTGCTGAATCTTTGTAAATCTGTAAAATTACACGCAGCAAGTGTTAAACCGAATGCAATGCATTCCGCTTCTTTCTGTGTATAAATCCGGCCTGTCGTCAGTCAGCTTGTTTCGCTTCTCTGAAGTCTGATCACTTTGACTGAAGTTAGGGTATTCCAGACAGCCGCACTTTTTTCGTTCATTTATCCATACAATTCCTTTATGCTAATAAAATCAGTTTTCAGCACCTTTTTAATCGAATCGTTTCCTGTCATCTTCAGCTCGCTTATATTGATTTGAACAGCAAACCTCGTCTGGACGGTCAAGATGTTACAATTCGAGGAATGTCTAAAATGCTGGGACGGGAAGGGTGATCCCCAGGTATGTTGGCGCGTATACTTTCATGCCTTTCAGGAACAAGTCCAACTACCGTTCGATGCCGCCGTTGACGAGGAGATGAAAGTTGAACTCCTGTTCTACATATGCAACCTATTTTCCACATCTCCTCTCGAGGAGCACTTTGTCTGGTCTGGGGAAAAGCGCATTGCAAAGGCTATCCTGTATGAAAAAGTCCTCTCGGACCGGATGTCTGAACTATTTTTCCTGGTAAGATAAAGCTGTCACGAACCTTTCAGTGCCTACATGTGTTCTGAGTATAGTTTTGCTAAATCTCTTTGGTATTCAATAAGGTCATCACTTCCACTGTTTTCCCAGGCTAAACAGCTAATATTCCTAGACTTTGTATAGACGCAATACACTACTCAAGAACATCATGAACGAGTGATTTAGCAGGGTTCTAGATGAGTCTGTCTTCAAAACCAAATTGATATGCATATGAGTTTGAGTCGAAGAATCAGGCCTTGTTCAGCTGTAACACTCCGGGTCTAGTTATCATGCTACCCGAAGGAAAGCGAAGATACTTCCAACTTATTCAATCATAGACAAGAGCAGTGGAGATGCTGCGGTCGTGTTCGGATCACGGACCTTCCAGTCAGCAAGTTTGCGCCTTAATAACTGAGCCAACTCTGATGCGTCCATTGTGTTGTTTCAATCGCAGTGTGATTGATTGCCGCTATTAAACTAAAACAAGAACGCTTTTTGCTTCCAACAATCGCGGGGTTCTGTTTGCGCTACAATATCGGTGCGATGAAGCTCATCCTCGTTTTCTGGCAATGGAAGATGACGTTTCACTGGTCAGCCTTTCGTAAAAAAATCATTCAGCTGTAACACCCTTCCGGTGCCCATCTGCCATACCACCTGGAGGAAGCATGAGGGCTGGGATACTGCTAGGTTGCCCAAGCCTATACAGGAGAGGTCGACAGACAGGTTGGGTTCCAACCACGGACCTTCCAGGCAGTAAATCCGCGCTCTAATCACTTGAGCCATCTCGGCATCCTTCTCGAAGAAATTGTTTCTGGAGCACTTTTTGTCGATTGATAGCGTCTCTTGGCTTAGGTTTAGAAACGTTGTCTAGCATTTTTGATGCGTTTTTGGGTGGATTGGCGTCCTTCACAGTGCTGCGTTCGCAGCTTGCTTCTTATGTCACCTGCCCTGGACTAGGTAGATTTCTGAGCAGATTCCATAGTCTATCATTGATTTCGTTCTCCAGGAAACTAACGATGGTTTATCTCACCCGATTTATCTATTGTTAATATTGAAAAATTCCTGGTATATCAGAGGTTAGTCCAGGAGATTCGATATGAGGCACTGCAGCGAAGGTACGACGAAGATCCATAAGGTCGTATGCCCAGGAGTGATTCATCATCATCATCATCATTCGATATGAGTGCAGCGAAGGTACGACGAAGATCCATAAGGTCGTATGCCCAGGAGTGATTCATCATCATCATCATCATCAATGACAGCAAGCAAAGTGTTAGCACTGATGCTTCACTGCCGTACAACCATAAAGTTCGTTTAGTTTATATATTTATATAAATGTATTGAAAGCCCTACACTGAGGAGAAGAGAAAAA